TGACGTGTGTATTGAGGCTGTATTTCTGCTCAATCAAATGAGTCGCTTGGTCAACAGAGGTATATTTCTCTAGTAATATATGTATTAACTGACATTGCTATGCTCCACTGCATATATATGGATCATTCTATTGAATTATTTCACAGTCAAAGTCATCTGCTGTAAAATGCAGAGGTGTGGCTAAAATAAGGCTCAAACTATGTCCTAAAACTCTTTGTGTTCCGGTAGTGACATTTAAAATGTGGGACTTTTTAATTTAAAAATTGATGATCCTGATAACTCACTTTGTATATATATTATCTTAGTTTGATCCTCATTAATGCCTTTGGCTTAAATACATCATAATCTTTGTAAATATCTAAGGTCTGAACATTATTTTTATTTATTTATTTATTTATTTATTTTATTTATTTTTATTTATTTATTTTTTTTGTGGGACTGTGGTTTGAACTAATTTGTCTGAATGGTCCATATACATTACTTACTTAATCTGGTCATTAATATGATTTAAGTGACTCAGTGGCTAGTTCTTAAAGAGAAACGTCCCAAACAAAATAAATGCCTTCTTGATGACCAATAAAATTAAAATACAAAGGCACAGAGTCCTGAATGAATAAAATGTAAAATGGCGTGTTTAAACTTTTGCATACATTTTTTGAGTCTTGTGAACAAATTATGTTATTCGTACAACATGAGATTTAGGTTACTTTATTTACTTTCACCGCTAGTAAAGCTAATAAATAAACTCAGAGTTCAATGACCTTAAAAAACACAAACAAATAAGAGAAAAAAAAGCACAAACAAAATTAAAAAAGAAAGAATACATAAACATTTTAGTAGAAAAATGTACTTTACTTCTACTTTCAAAAATACTTGCAAAGGTGAAATGCTGTTTAAAAAGTTGAGAGACTCTATATATTCACTTCAACAGTACTTAAGTGAGTTTGGTGCACTAAGGAGATTGGCCTGCAGCATATATTGAAGCTTTTTCACACTGACATTTCAGGCCTTATGAATCTGATGAAGGTGAGCTGTGCAGCCGCACTGTGCTAAATATTCTGAGAAAAGCAGACGCTTACTGGAGATGACATTCTACACATTTTGAAGAAATTAATCAAAAACTCTTATTTGCTTAAAAGCATCTCTCAAATAATAATAGACAAAAAACTAAGTTTTACATGCATATACAAAATGTACATCCTTATAGAGAAACACACAGTGACTATATAGTTTTGTAATGTGTAGCCTAAGAACAGAGCAGAAATAAAAATATTTGATATTTGTATAAAAAAAGATTTTTACATCAAACTTTCAATGTCATTTAGTGAATTTATCACACTTAGCATCAGCTGCCTAAATCTCCATAAACTTTTACAATAAAAAAAGTTACAATAAGTAATGATGTAACAGGCTAGTAATGTTAGCTAAGGTAAAAATAGATGCTTAGCAATTGTCCGTTTATATTAAAGACATCAGATTGTCTGCCTTTCTTGGTGTACATGAAGCTACGCTTCAACAACTATAAATATCTGTTGTGTCTCAGTCCTGAGTGGCATGCTGTCGCTACACTGCAATGCATCATATATAATATATATATATATATAATAATATATATGTCTTTGTTCAAATAACTCTGTAGACAAACCAAAAACAAGCAGAAAGAAAAAATAAAACCTCTGTTCTCTCTTTTTGTTATCTTGTTGCATAAATTCATGTATGACCAGCTTCTGTGTTGCTTTCTCTCACATCTTCTGATGTATTCAGCTTTTGTCCTCATGGACCTTTAAAAGAATATCAATGATTAATACTTTGATTACTTCATATATTATTATTATTATTATTATTATTATTTTAACCTGATGAGGATCAGTTTGTCTGTTTTAGAGATTTAAAACTGATCTTTGTCTTGCTGTACTGTTGATCTTACTTTTGTCTGTGTTGTGCTTCAGCTCTGAGTACACAGTGTCATCATTCACGCTAGTCTCCTCTAAATAGAGACCAAAAACCCAGAATTAGCTTCCAGAAATCTTCTACTCAACCAAATCAATACATTGATCATGATCTGAATATGAGACTACATGCAAGATTAAACTTTCTTATTTATTTATTTTTTTCCAGTCCCCTAAGTTCTATGTGTTACACAGGTAAGCGTAAGGTGCAAACTCCAAAGTACTAGATAATTATTCTGAGTTACATGATGGTAAATTAAAATAAATGACACTGAAGTAACAAACAGGTCCTGCATATGAACTAGAATAAATGTGGGGTACCATCTCCAAAGTACTGTGTAATTGTTTTAGTTAAAACGACGAAACTCAAGTAGTCTACGTCTGATGTACTGTGTCAGTCTCACTAAATTACACTGAAATGACTAATAGGTTCTTTGTATTAAGCTAAAAAAAAGACATAGTAAAATACCTCATAAGTATTTGACGCAAAAAGGTGTTCAGTATAAACATACTAAATTTCAGTGTAATGTCACATATTTAGGCAGGAAAAAAAATAACTCTAATTACCAGATAAGTGACATTACATAAAATGATGGCACAAAATATAAAGACAGCCCAGATTCAGTTTCTTTATAAATATGAAACACAAAATGGTTGTTAAACATAAAACAAAAAAATGATGAAAAACCTTAATAAATAGATTACATAGTATGTATAATGTAAGAATATTTGTACTTTATTGTTCTACAATTGATTATGCCATACAACAACCTGGTATTTTTTCCCCAAAATAACTGTGCAGTACTGTATGGTTTGTGCATCACATTTACTCAGGTAACACCCAGAAATTGTTGGGTGTTTCAATGTAATTTAGTTAGAACTGCCTTGGAACTCACCAACATCTCACCCAAAATAATAATATCACTTTGGAGTTTGTTCCTCACACTTATCCAGTAAATACCTAGTACTGAAGGGACTGTGAAAGAAACCGTTATCAAAGTGGATCGGTAAGTTATACAAAACGTGTCAATTAGAATCCATTTTCATTTTTCTCTACCGCGTTTTTTCTTTGGTTTCTTCTTCACTTTTCTTTTCACTTCAATCTCAGCATAAATCACATCCATAGATCCAGCGTCAGCATCTGCAACAACACAAAACATAACAAAATGCAGTTATAAAAACATCTTGCTGACCTCTAACTTTCATAAACATCCCACAATGCCCACTTTCTTCCTATAGTAAACCTATGAAAGCTTTCATTCTGCATGTCGTATCTTCTCTGTTAGCATAGCGATGTGGAATACATTACCTGGTGAGTAGATAGAGGAATAAAGCCAGAGTACCTGTAACTTTGCCTGGCTGCAGATTTGAGTAAATGGCGTCAGTCTGTGAATCCTGTTCTGGAATATCTTCCCCTGATATGGTAGAAACATTAGATGAAACACATTAGCTTTGAAACACGTGTTCAGAGTTTTGAATGCACACTGATAGAGTAACAGATGACTGAATGTACTGCAGATGCATTCTGCTCTGCTGAACTGGTATATCTGATGCTACATGAAATACTATTACAAATATCCAGTCAGAATGTACCTTTGCTCTTGGGTTTCTTGTTTTTTATCATCACCTGTGAGTAAATGACATCACTGAGCTCGTCTGCAGCATCACCTGATACAGAATAAGGTGTGTTAGTCACTGCAAGTCATAAATGTGTGCATTTTGCTTCAAAACAAGAGAAACTCTAAGGAAACTCTAAAGAAACATTTGATAAATTCACAAAAGCTTTCTGAGTGGTATATTTTGAAAAACTAATCACTGAAAACTGATGAAAGACATTTATGTTGGGTCATTAGTAAGTGTAAAGGCTGCATAATATAAACAATTTTTTAAATTGTTACCAGGAAAATTACATTTGTAATAGTGATATCACACAAGGGGGTGTTCAGACAATGCCTTCTCAAACTCTCTTAAGGGTTCTTCTTTTCATTGTTTTCAATGGAGCAACACGCACCACAAAAAGCTCTCCTTTATCACGTTTAAACTACACATTTAAGTTGAAAAACTTTTCCATTGGGCGCCTTGAAAAGTGGTTGTATGACATCACAGCTGACCGATCATTATTGACAATGTCTTCTCTTTATTCACCAGAAAAACAGCTAGTTTTGGCTGCTTTTTGAACACTCTGCATAAAGATGACCACAATCAAAACATGAAACAGTTTCCTATGTATTACTGTATTTGTCAGTTTCGAAATGTTTATCACTCATATCTGTCCAGCGTTCTTTCAGATTACTGTTTTGTGTTTACATTCTTGTCAGTCAAATGCATTATTTCACAGTGTGGATTGCTTTTAACCTCGTTCTGCAGGCCTCCTGATGGCCATTTCACCAGCAGAATGGAAATTGGTATTTTAAAATAATACATTAAAAAAGATTTTTTCCTGTAACTTATTTGACTCTCTGGGTGTGAAATGTGGTTCAGCTGCTAGTGAGCAATGAGGGCTGAAAGGGGACAGGTAAGAATCTACTGTTGTAAATGACAAATGATAACTTGCTCGCTCACCTATGACAAAACTCCAGTTTGCTGATTGTTTTGAAAGGCAGTTAAAACAGCATTGTCAGGGTAGCCTAATCAATCATATCTGTGTTCTGAACAATCACAGTCCCAGAAGATTGTTTTTCTGGGTGTTTTGATGAATCTATTTATTGATGTAATCCAACAAAAGTAAATTACTTTGTACATTGCAATAATACATTAGAACCACAATATGCAGCAACAAATACTAATATTTTGTTTATGTCTTGCAGCCCTAATAAGCACATAATTCAGCTGAATTATTAATCAGGAAAATACTCTTTAACTCATTGTCTGACCAGGTTGCACTGGTGCATGTCCAGACTGAGGGTCCTCAGCTTCTGGCTCTCTCTGTGTCTGTTCTGATGTCTGGTTTATGTTCTGCTTGTTTCCTGAAGGGGGAGACAGAGATTCACCATTTGGCCAACAGAGTAATAAATGAAAAAGTGTAATAATGTAGAAATATGTAAACAAGTTTTATTCTGTGTATCTTGCAAATGTTTTAATTGTACATAAAATATCTACATGAGTTTTCAGACCTTTCTTGGTTTTGTAGAGCCACAGCAGTATTGCTGAGATGAACAACAAAGCAATACTCTCTCCCACAACCAGTCCAACCAGACCAACAGCAGATTCAGCAGCTGAATCTGAAAAATATACATTTACACAGAAACAATTTGCAAGATATCAGAAAAAAATCATGATGTAATTAAATTTGTTTTACAATAAAAAAGAATAATTTCTATCTAACCTCTGACTGAGATCCAGCTCTGTGGAGACTCTCCTCTCTCTGAGTGTTTACAGTGATAGAGACCTTCATCTGACTTTGAGACAGTATGGATGGTCATCTCTCCTGTAGTCTGAGTCTGGAGGAGTGATCCATTCTTATAGAACTCAGCTGTGAGGTTTGAGGGCTTTGTGTGGTGATATAAACAGTGTAGAGTCAGAGGATCTCCCACAGTCAGAGGATGAACAGGACTGTCCAGAATCACATCACCATCTGGAAGAGAATATAAATAAAAAAGCTCAATCTGTGGAAAAGTAAAGCCCCCATAGTGCTCGATGAGCTCAATATCTGATATTGCTGTGAATGATCTTCTTTAACAAAGACCGTAACCTCATTAATGAGCTCAGGTATTGTGGTCACTCACATTTTGTAATGCTATTATTCAGTGCCTTACCTGCCATAACAGATCTGATTCATATCTGGAGAAAATCAAACAGTGCAGTACAGTTGCTGTGCTCAAATTATCCTATAACTATACAGAAATTACCTTCCAGTATAAATCAGAAAAATTTACTTTCTTGTGCAGTTTTCTGTGTAGGAAAGTCATAGTTCTGCATATCCAAGCATTTCCCTTAATAATTAAAAACACTAGACTCACTGTGCACTGTGATGTTGACAGGATTGCTGCTCTCTCCAGATTCAGACTCACACCAGTACACTCCAGTGTGGGATGTGTTGATGGAGCTGATGCTGCATGTAGATCCTGTAACTGATCCCCAGCCTGATGAACAATCTGACACCTTCTCACTGTGTGTGTATCGTCTCACTCTCCATCCAGTAGAGTCACTCTGTCCCTCACAGCTCAGTGAGAGAGAGTCAGTAATAAAGTGTTGAGTTCTGCTGGGACTGACCATCAGAGAGACTGGAGGAGAAACACCTTAGACATAGAAATGACCATTCAGATGTGTATTTATCTTGTTATAGATACAATGCACAATCACTTTTAACATGGAAAGGCTTTAAACGCCAGTTTTGATTACTGAGTGCCCAAAAAAGTTTGAAAAAAAGAGAAAATGTCTGCAGACAAATGCTCATCCAGAGTTTCTTCTGAAATCAATGGTATTAAAAGGGGGTCCATCCCCGTTTTTCTGTAGTATTAATATCTTCTGGGAAGATTTTCCAGTAGATGTCAAAACATTTCTGTGAGAATCTGTTGAGGCCATTTTTTTTATTTCTCTTCCCATTAAATGAAATGAAATCTATGGATGGATGACCCCATTCCTGGGATTAATCGCTCCAGAAACTCAGTGTATGTGTATATATATATATATATATATATATATAGTGTGTGTGTGTGTGTGTGTGTGTGTGTGTGTGTGTGTGTGTGTGTGTAAACTGTTTCACTCACCAGTAACATTAATCCAGAGAGCATCACTGTAGTGAGTGTAGTAGACTGGGGTTCCTCTCCCAGCTCTGCACCAGTACTGTCCTCCATCAGAGACACTGACTGAGCTGATGGTGTAGGAGTGTGTTTCAGTCTTGATCTCATTCTCAGGGTTCTGTGTGTGTTTGAACCAGTAAAACTTCCATCCAGCAGACTGATCCAGCTCACAGTACAGAACCACTGGATTTCCTATCAGTGCAGCTCCTTTATGGCTTGATGTGAGTTCAGTTTTAGGTTTTTCTTCTACAGTTGGAGATGAAGCACACAGTTCAAATGCTAATATTTAGCAAATATCTGTGAATGGGTTTCTTGAAGTAAGTAATAATATCTAGTACTTGACGTCACCCTAAATAACTTAAAACTAATAAGAATATAGCATTTTAAACATAATATAAACCTCTAAATTCAGCACTAAACACTGAGTTCAGTTCAGTTCAGTTTAGTTCAGTTAAGTTCAGTTCAGTCATCCCTCAAAAAAGTTTAACCGTGCTTAGATTAATAACTGACTCATCAAATTAATTTATCAATCTACTCAGGCTTTAGCAGAGCTCAGTAACACTGAGATTAAATGAAATACTGTATTCTGAATACTGCTTTACAAAATGTAAACAGACATAACTTAATTTCTGTATCATGAAAATGTATTCCTAATAATTTCATAGATCCCATCTCTGTTTGTGAGTAATTTTATCAGAGAAAAATAGATTGTATAAGTGAAAAAAAATCACACACTGCTCTCAGAGTCTTAAAAACAGTAATTACTCACCTTGAACACAGAGATTCACTCTGTTACTATGCTGTGATGATGAAGGTCTGTTATCTCTTTCTCCTCTACACCAGTACTGATTCTGATCCTGATCTGCTGCTGATCTGATGGTGAAGGTGTTTGTCTGAGACTGATTGACTGCAGTTCTACTGCTGCCTTTATACCACTGATATCTCCAGTTCCTGTAAGACTCTATCTCACACTTCAGAGTGACTGACTCTCCAGTGAACACAGGACTCTCTGGTTCTACAGTCAGTGTAGCTCTGGGTAAAGCTGTGAGAAGAGATGGAGAGCAGTGAATTTTCCAGCTACTTGAGTCAGTGGGACCTTATATAGCTTAAATCTCTACACTGAATGCAGTGTTGTGATGGAGAGGTTAATGAATATTGGTGTGCACAATGGGTTAATACACTCACCTGATACAGTCAGTGCGACAGCATCACTGATCTCTGATCTCTGAGAGTCACTCCTCCTCTCTCCTCTACAGGTGTATTTACCACTGTCAGAGTTTCTAATGGTGAATGAATAATCTTTTTCCCATTTACGGGAATGAACTGGATGGTTACTGTCACCATCTTTATACCAGCTGTAGCTCCATTCAGTGTCTGTGTGTCCTTGTATGCCACATCTGAGAGTCACATTCTCTCTAATAAACATCTGTCCAGTAGGGATCAGGATCAGTGAAGCTTTTGGTCTCTCTGAATAATTACATCACATAAATATTATTGTAAATCAGCCAAACACACACTGTTTTGAGAATTAAGATCTATTAAGAAATACCTTTATTATTAATGTTTGTATTTTACAAACATTAATTGTATTGTGTTTGTTACAGGTTTGAAAGATCTGATGTACCTGTTACTGTAAGAGTCACTGCGTTACTCCATAAAGTCTCTCTTTGTCTATGCTTCTCAGAACCATAACAATAATATTTTGAACTCTGATCCACTCTGATGCCTCTTATGATGTAATGGTTTTTATCTGAGTGGTGAAGTTGAGTGTCCAGTCAGTTACTCTCCTTTCTGGAATGGAACATGTGAGTGTGACGTTCCCTCCACTGAATATCTGTGACCAGTTAGGCTGCACAGACAAATTTGGTCGATACCCTGCTGTAAAAATTAAAAAGAAAACATACATCTGTTACTGATCAGAAGGCAAATTCTGTCTGATTATGCATGATTAACATTTTAGCTCACATGCTACTTATAAATCACCTTGAGCATGTCCAGTTTGAACAAGTGAAATCAACCCTAAAACAGGAAGAGAAACAAACAACACAGTGTTAAAATAGAAATCATTCTTATCTTTAAGAAAATTCATGCAAGCAACATAGTATTTCATGCATAATAACAATAAATAGAGTATTAGACTCTATTTTCATAGCAACCCTTACAAAGCCATATATTTTCCAGTACATAAACAGGCTACTTAAATAAATGTATTTAAAGTGTGAAAGTGTGATGTGGTTCACATGACATTTCATCTGATGCTGAATTGTTCACAACATGAAAGCTGTGTTCTGGTGCACAAGGCCAAAGCAACGTTTTACAGCACATCAAAGGATTGAAACAACACTGTTAAAACCACTGAATCACTGATCATAATCATGTTTAGCAGTTTGTGGTCAAAACATTCAGAGCATCTTAGAAACCTCCACTAGCCAGAATGATCAAACTCAGTAATCACAAGCATATTTTTTTTTACTATCTTCTCACAGAACTCATTGTACACACTGATCTACTCCAGATCAGTCATTCACATTCACATATTACAGAATGATCTCTAAAATTGCTGGTTCAGACAGTGGGCTAGTTTTGCTGGGTCATTTATATCTATCCTGTTCCATTACCCAGCATTTGGATTAATGGTGTGAACCAGTTACTGAGTTATTTTCTCACTACCTAGCAAACTTTGTAGGATAATAAACTGTCAAATTTAATTCATTACTGTGATCCTGCATGGCTAGAATATCGAGCCACATTGTCAAATTTGAATTCAGATGCTAGCTAGTGCTACTTAGTTAGTCAGCAAGCAACAATGACAATATCTCAGAGCTAGAAAAGTCGTCCATTTACCATACACACTCTTCACTACTACTATTTTATATGTTTTAAACAGACTTTGTTTAATTATGTTATCAAAGGCTTTGTTATTAATAAGTTTAAATCTTATGGAGCTCAAATGGTGTCTGTGTGTGTGTGTGTGTGTGTGTGTGTGTGTGTGTGTCTGTGTGCGTGGAAGGGTTGGTGTCACATCGTTCTCTGAGGCAGATTCAGTTGTCAAAGTGCATCACATAAATTATGTATGTAAAAATAAATAACAAATAATACTTGTCTTTCAATTACAGTTGATTTCAAGTACTCAGGTGATTTTATAGAATAAATAGAATTTGGTAGTATAGGATTCATTGAGCTTGACAGTACATAGGATTGCATTAGTTGCATATCCCACATATTAACTGTGTGTGTATATATATACACACACACACTACTACTAACACAAATAATTGTAGTAGTAGTAGTAATAATAATAACAATAGATCCTTTTTGTCATATGATTATCCTATATCAAAGGGTAAATATACATATATATATATATATATATATATATATATATATATATATATAATATATATATATATATATATACACATATATATATATATCAACGGGTAAAAAACAAACCAATATCCATGGTAAAGTTAACACAGGATTGTGTACAAAAGTCTCCAGATTTGGGTCATTTTAACAACACAGCACAATGGTTAAAGTACTTAAACCAACCAGTTGAGTTAAAATAATCTTGCATGTGTTCTGTCCCATCTTTACCCAGAGCTGGGTTGCCAAATAACCCAGGTTGGGTTGTTTTCAGCCCAGCATTTTTTAGAGAGGAGAACAGAAGTTCTGTAGTGTTCCACTCTGACCGCTGACTAAACTAGACACAATCACTTCATCACACACAACCTCATCACTAACACACTCAGATTAAATATTAGTACCTTCATATAGCAGCTCTCACTCTGCTGAAGACATAAAGAGAACATTTACTCACAGAGTATTACAGAGAATGACCTGAACTCCATACTGTCCCCGTAATGACTGACTGACTGAACAATGCTCTGTGTTCAACACTCATCACTTCCTGAGAGAGACAAAGAGAGACAGTAAGAGAGAGAAAGAGTAAGAGAATACATATGTGTCTGAGATGTTTAACTCTAGTAGAACACAGTGAAGCCAACACTTTTAAAAAGATTTGAATTAATTTCACTGAAATGAAAACAACACTGTAAACTCAGAAATAAATCTTCGTATAAAGAAGAAAAATGAGAAGTAAACAAAGAGAGAAAATAGACTCTTGACTGCCCGTTGATCTCTTGGTGGTTCTTACTCAACAAATGTTAACCTTGGTGTGAAATGAGACGCGCATAAACAGTCTGTTTTCAGCTCGAGTGTTCGTCAGTACATGAAGCAGAAGATTTTACTGTGGATCCAATCACAACTGTCAATTAAAAAAAAGTTTGAGAGGTGGGTGATAACTAGTTATGTTTAATCAGTTGCATTTACTCAAGCAAAATTTGAATGGTTTTGTAGTAATTGAGTTTTTTCCAGAAAACAATAATACCTTTAAATCTAGCCATGTATATTTGTGAGGAAAATGATCTACCTTTATCTCCACTGTTAGCTTTTTGGATAGCTTTCCTGTTAGCTCAGCTCAAATGGTAGCCCCATCACTCAAACCTCCCCCTTGTCTGACACGGAAACCAACTAAGCAAGCTCCAAAAGAAGATATAAGGTGCTTTCACTAGTAACTGCTTCAGGGAAGCCAAACTGAGCTTTTTAAAGTCTATTGAGTCAATTTAAGTCTACTGAGTCTATAAAAACAGATCATTATGCACTGGTCAGTTAGCTTAATTAGCTTTTCTAGAATGTTGCTTGATAAACCAGTCAGATTAAACAGGACTGTACAGCACTTTCATTTGTGATTTCATTTGTGATGCATGTCATCATTTATCATTATCATTACAGACAAACTGAAAGATGAAAAAGGTAGATAACTCAACTTCATCAATAAATTAAACATGACCACTAAGATAATTCCCAAATTGAAAATGTGTTAAAATCAAGAGTAACATTCATGATAACACCTAGCAACAAAAAAAAAGTGCTCCTAAATGAATGAAATTCTGTTTCACCAGCTCTGCTGACAAAGCTAAACACCAATTAATGCCATAATATTCTTTTCCATTGGACTATGTAGCTGTTATCATTGAAATCCATGCCTTTCAAACTCTGCCAACAGAAGAATTTGACAGTGGTGCATCACTGTTTGCTGTTAAGAGGTTCTCTTCATCTAGTCTGTATTCTGTATTCTCTGTAATTTCAATATATTCTGCCCTCATCACAATAGGTTGACCATGTCTATGAAGCCTCTGAAAAGACATGATTTATTTTTAAAAATGTGATGCTCACCTGATAGTATCTGGTGCCCATCTAATAGTATTTGGTGCTCACCACATAATATTTAGTCCTCATCACATAGTATCTGGTGCTCACCACATGGTATTTATAACAGTGAGCATGTGCTATGTCCAACGACGTATTGTTTAAATGTTTAATTTATTTTTTTCTCTTTTGCGTAAACTTCCGCTCTCTTCAGCTCCTTGCTCTCCTGTCTGTCAGAACTGTCAGGTGTTGCTGCTGATGGAGGTGTGATGGCGTGCGCGGATTGGCTGTGCTGAGATCGCGGCAAGAGCTTATAAGCTTGGTGACCGGCTTCCTCAAGGCTCCTCCTCCTTCCCTTGATGTTGTCGCCTGACTAGCCAGACCAAGAAGTTCCAAACACGGAGTAGTTGGGCCTGTTCTCCGTGTAGTTGCTAGTCTAATGTGATGTGTTGAACTGTGTGAAGCCTTTTGTTAACAGACTCAGACTTCTAGATTGGAAGCTGTAGGCGGTGTAGCCTTGTTTTCTTTGTTTTTGTTGAGGGAGGTAGGTTATGTTTTTGAATGTGTTTCTTTTATTTTGTGTAGGTAAGTTAGTTGATTGGGGAGATATATTTTTCTTTGTTCTTTTTGGCTGAGACCACTCCTGAAGCTTAAGCTTCCACAATCCATAATAAAACTCATGAGACTAGAAATATATGTTTTGAGTGGGATTGTGCCTGCGGGTTGGTAATGGGACGCTGGGGGAGACACTTATATTGCTGCCTACCCTTGACGGCTCGTAACAGCATGTAATATGACTCTCGGCATGTCACAGAGTTGGAAGCACAGAGTTCTGTGCATATGCAGCAATGCATTTTAACATTTTAAATCAACTTCTATTTTTTTAACTTATCCAAAGAGAGTCTGCGAACATTCAGGAGTGTTTGGTTTGGTCAGTAAATAATATTTGTAGCTAAGTATATTCATTTATTCAGTAACACTCATATGTACCCATTTTCAAATATAAAGGATGGTGGCAAAGTGTATTACAACACTTAATTAAGAGAATTTGTTGGATTCAACTTTATATATGATACATGTCAGAATTGTGGGTAATTTGGTTTGGCATGAGAGGCAATAGGAATGTCCACTGACCCCAGCACCACCCCTGCTCAGTACTTAGTAGTTTTTTGAGCTGCTGCATTGTGTGTGTGTGTGTGTGTGTGTGTGTGTGTGTGTGTGTGTGTGTGTGTGCGTGTGTGTGTGTGTGCATGCATTTATTATTATTTTTTATTTATTATTTTCTAAACCTGACTATGTGAAACTTGCCCCACTAACATCTCCACTTTCACACCTCCTCCTCCTTAAACCCACACAGCTGAACTAGAACAGAATCCAAACCACAGCCACACACTCATCTCTGCTCTCACACCTCTCACATTCTCACTGATTAATGTGTTAGAAGGGCTACTAGTACTACCAGTTATAATCTTTGCTGCGTTTTTGTTCATGAGATCAGGTACATAATGACTGCAGAATTTTGGAGAGTCGCTCTGAATTACTGTTTCAAACACACTGAAATAAACAGAGCTCCAGATCCTGACTTGATTCTGATCATGTAAATTCTGTGTTGATTTGATTTGATAGAGAGGGATGGTTTCTTGTATATGGAAGATCTTCCATTAAGGGTGATTCACAATTGTACAGAGCCTCTGAAAGTGCATGGCTTTTTTTAGGTACAAATCAGGTGATTACCAGATACTGAGCACCAGTGTCATGATGTATCCCCCCTCTGAAGAGACTCTACTTGGACTCTCCCTGGTTTCACCCACTGTTCTCCATTACAAGCACCTGCATCTCATTTCATGGACATTTAAGGCCTTGTTTTCACACACATGGGTATTTTTTTAAACCATTGCTTTTGGTCTTTTGCGTTGTAGGTCACTAAAATGGCCCTTTTTCAAAGCTCCATCCAGGATGAACATATGCAGAAATTCTGTTTTCAGTGTTACTGTGTACACAGGGAAGACTGAGTTGTTGGCTTGTAACATTCAGAGTGTGTTTTATTTCTTATTTCAAAACATCTTCTTCTTCTTCTTCTTCTTCTTCTTCTTCTTCTTATTATTATTATTATTATTATTATTATTATTATTATTATTATTATTATATCCAGCACTCCTTCAACACAGACCCCACTGTCAGCATTGCCAGTTTTGGATGAAACCCAGTAGGACCTCTAGTTGGCAGGTTTGGTTGTTGCAAAAAATGATGAGAGAATTTTGGTTTATCAAGGAAATTCTGCGCAGACAGGATTTTTTTTATTTTAAATGAAAAAAGACCTATGTTTGTGTGGAATAGGCCTAAGACCCACATATATACATCTTTGTGTGATCTTTTTGTCTCTGTGTTGCTAACCTGAGTCCCAGTGGGTTTTCCCCTTGTTTGTTCCTGTGTTTCGACCCCTGCTTGTCTTATTGTTTTTTTAATTATGGATGTTTCTGAAATCACCTGCCTGTGTTTTGACCCGTGTCTGTCTGGATTTTGTGCATTGGACTCCTCAAACAAAGCTCTTTTGCATTTTGACCCAACCTATTTGCTATGTTACAACCAGATACTAACAAATGCACACCAAATCTCACAGTCTCTGTGCAATTGCTTGACTCAGATGAGGTTTCAACTGAGATGTAAAATTGATCTATTTGATCTATTTTGTATATTTTTGTTGTTTGCTATTTTTCACCACACAGAGACAATATTTCATTGCATGCTAATGATAAGAACATGACCAACGTATCATTGCTTTATTTGTCACGTTTTAAACATTTTAATATAATTTAACGTAATGTCAATTTTTACAATGACATGTAATAATAATGAAAAAAATTATGAATTTTTAAAAAAGTACAAATCCTGTACAACTTCTTTTGTAAAATATTTACAAAATAAAAGGTAGTAAAAAGTAAAAGCTAATAAAATAAAAACAAAACAAAGTTAAAATAAGTTCATCAGTCTGAGCTGAAAGATAAACAAAATAAAACCTGAATAAGAATGTTATACCTGCCCTCTGCTGGTGTAAAAATTACTGCAGCTTGAAGTAACAACCTAAGAGTTTTTTGTTTGCTTGTTTGTTTGGTTTTTTAAAGCCCAGCTCAGTATTTCTCCTCCTTACTCAAAGTGTTACATTAACATGAAGTATGTTATCTTCTTACTTCTGCTTCTATCCAACATTTACTGGGCACTGCAGGGTGCATAAAATGACCTCTAAAGTGTTTTTTTTAGTATACTGCCCCCTAACCGATGTTTAGTTGTTACATTTTATTTGGTGTGATCTTAGACGTCACAGATAACAGTAATTGATTATAGCGAATAATAAACTACCTTATATTGCATATTTGTGAACTGTGAAATCAACTGACCCTCCTACACTTCACACACTCCGCATTGCTCTATGTGAGTAACATTGTAGCTGCTAGGAGAGCACTCATTTATAAATGCTCAGATTAGACCAAATGAAAATTTCTTTCTGGGGTTGAAGTGACACCCAGTACAAGAGTTTGTAGCAAGAATCTATTATCGCTGACTCATTTAAAAATTGATCTCAATACAGCTCTGGATTTTACAGCCAACAAGCTGAAAGGAACAGCTGTCCCAACACTTCCTGGAGGCAGTGTGAATGATAAGACAGTACATCTTTATTTGTAAATAGCAGTCAGCGTTTTCATTCGACAGCTTATTCAATAATTTATCTAGTAGCAATGAGAATGTAGCAAAATGTGCAAGCTAACATTAGCTAACTGTGTTGTCTAATTTAGCATGCTAACCTTAAATTTGTATCAGCTACCTGCTATCAAATGTTTTGTATGTAAGATGCAACACAGCTACAAATGTATTTTAATGACGTTATATGACACGATACACCGACATGATTTAAATTGCCAATAGGCATTGACTTCCCCACATTTAGCTCCTGCTGTGTGTAGTTAGCCTAATAGCTAGATCTGGTCAACTAGTCAGATAAAAGCTAGCTAGCTAATGTTAGCTAAGAGTGGAGTTTTGGGCAGTCAACAGCAGAATCCACATGGTGATTAAAAAGTGCCTAATCTAATTCTCTGGATAAACTAATGTAAAAGTGATCAGTATGTAAGTTCTTACATTCATCAAGTATGAAGGAAGGTGTCCTTTTATTTAACCAGATAATTTGATTAGCCTCTAACACGAACGACTGTACCTCCACGGACCCCTCAGTCAAAATCTTAAAGTATGCAGACGACACTAACGTTACAGTCATTGGTCTCATCCGAGACGGTGACGAGTCTGCTTACAGACGGGTGGTTGATCAGCTGGTCCTTTGGAGCAGCCACAACAACCTGGTGCTGAATACAGAAAAACAGTGGAGATGACAGTGGACTTCAGGAGGAGCCCTTCAGCCCTGCCAGCACTCACCATCCTGGACAGAACTGTGATGGCAGTAGAGTCCTGCAAGTTCCTGGGCACAACAATCACCAGGGACCTGAAGTGGGACAGCAACATCAGCTCCATCATCAAGAGAGCCCAGCAGAGGATGTACTTCCTGCATCAGCACTTTAACTTTAGACCCATACTTGCACAATGTAAAGGTTACAGGTATGACTGTGTGTGTGTGTGTGCGTGTGTATGTGTGTGTGTGTGTGTTTGTAAACCTTATAATATGGGGACTTCAGCCAGTAAGCACACCAATAAAGTGGGGACGTGTGTCATCGTGGGGACCAAAAATCGAGTCCCCACAAAGTTAACCATTGTAGCATGTCTATTTCGTTGGGCTGAACCTCCCCCCTTAAAATCTCGGAAGTCCCCAAGATGAACACAATCTCGACAAAAAGTGTGCGAGTGCTTAGGGGGAACTGCTCAAAGTGTGTACACGCCCCCTGTGGCCAAAGACTGTAAAAACAACTGCGGACGCACACTTGATCACGTGGTACAGCAATGCTGAACTCTGATTGGTTGAAACGGGAAGCAATCAGTGGAACTGTGAGCCAATGAGGTATCACCTTGATCAGTGCTGCAGTTTCCCAATCCGAAGTGACGTGTGCCGAGCTAGCCCAGCGCCTGAGAGCTCTGTGAGTGAACTTTCACCATCAGACGGAATGTTTTCAGCGACTACATGTTTAATTAATAAACTGTGCTCGAATATAAACCTTAATAGTGCTGTAAATTTAAGATTTTAGTTTCAGTAGTGCCGTGTTCTCGTTAATTAGCTAGCGCTAGTTAGCTGGCTGTTCTAGCCTGTTAGCTCAGCCCTGACGGGGCATTTAAGGCCTTTAACCTGCCTCCCTGTATCAGCCCGTTTATCGAGACAGTTCGCGCTACGATGCCTATGAATGTTTAACGCGTCTTCCGTAGAGAAGCTGGTGAAGTGTTTAAGGGTGAAAGCTTGGTAATGAGGAGGAAGAGCCCGACAAACGACGCTGTTTTCCACATCACCGCCGGCCGCGACAGAGCGGGGCTGGATGTGAAGTACATTGGTTCGTTTAAAGGTGAGCAGAGCAGGTAGATCAGCTTTGACTGAACCTCGACACAGAGAAGGTCGTGTTAGCGCGGTCTGTGGTTGCTGATTAAGGCAGGGGAGTGTTTGCCGTGACGAACTTCGCGAGAGGAGAGTTCGTGCTGGAGTACAGAGGAGACCTGATCAGTGCGGAGGAGAGTCGGAGAAGACAGCGGGTTTATCACAGCGCCGTGAAAGCGTTCCTGTTCGACTTCATCTGGCACGGAAAGCTCTGGACGTGAGTAACTCTTCCCTTCTTCTCTCTCGGCCTGCGGGGTTAAAGGTGGGGAGGTTTCGGCCGCGGCGCTCAGAGCCGCGCTGAGCGGAGATGGGGACGGGAGGCTGGTGTTAGATGGGCTATAAACGCTTTATTACTGCGACTCATTCATATTTAAACCTTTAAAGATCTAACATTCATCTGTGATCAGCGCCGAGGTGTTTGGCAGCGTCGTCGTTTTGTTTACAGACGCGTTGGCCATTTACTGTGATCGACTCTCCGTTTTTAATCACATCTAATGATGACGTGTGTTTTATCAGAACAGCAACCTGGCTAGCTTTTATAATGCGCCTTATTCAGTCGTGTTGTCTTTTTCGGTAAATGTATAGCAACTTTCCCCTGACGCGATTTTAAAGGGCCACCGCATCAGAACCAGCGAGGTGCTGGTCGTAATTCTAAAGTTATTGGTTAAGATCATGACCTCTTGACCCTCCTGATCCTGAGCCACACGTGGATTTAGTTCGCATCATCTTTAAATTTAGTATAATTTCCGTTATCCAGCTCTGTTTTCCACATTTTCTAATCTGTTTATGTATGGCGTACATATTGTGCTTTGTAGTCTTTCTTTAGTTCACTACTATTTCTATTTAACAAAATGTCATGTTCCTTAACTCAAAATGCATAATCACCCCTGCCTGTAGACGCATATTGAGCACAGTTACTTGAAACTGTGAATAGTCTAACAATGATAATATATTAATATGAGCAAAATGATAATGACACTATTATTAAGTGAAATAACTGAAAATAGTGTATTGTTTGCTTTCATTACATTTTTAAATTTTACAACTATACAACTAAAATATTACTTTTTGTCACTAAATAACTCTTCTGTTTGTTCAAATTCAGCATTGATGCTGCAAGGGATGATGGCACACTTGGAAGACTGGTTAATGACGACCACATTAACCCCAACTGTAAAATGAAGAGAATCATTGTGGAGGGAAGGCCACATTTGTGCCTTTTTGCTTTAAGAGACATAACACCTGGAGAGGAGATTACGTATAATTATGGAGATGGTGATTGTCCCTGGAGGAGTGAGGTAAGAATGTTACTTCTTGTACCAGTTGTGGATAATTAAATACCAAATAGTGAATATATTTCTAAGATATCATATCCATAATGTAAATGGAAGCTTGAAATTAAAGGATACTGTTAATTTGAGTTTATGCAGACTATCTAGAGATGATCAGAACAATTCCAATCAGTTACAGTATGGTACTGCTAACATGTTGCATGCTGTTTCCATAACAGGATTTCCCTCTTATTTTTGTGTTTAATAATGACTGTTGTGTCCATTTCAGGTGACAAAAAGTGGAATGGAAGCAGACAACAATCATCTGGAGTCAGAAGGTGCCTCTGGAGATGATCAGCATTGCACCAAGCATTTACAGCACAAATCTGCTTTTGGCGTCCAGGTAAGCAAACTGCTAAAATTCAAGCATGTTCACACAGGTAATGCTAAGTCTGCACAATGTGTAAAGTAGTCAACCAGTATCAGGAGAGTCTGGCTGCAGACATGCGCTCTCAGACAGATGCAGTCTCAGCCCCAATCACGTCATGTGCTCTCTGCCAATGGCTGAAACAGCCCAATGGCACATTAACTTTTGGCTGCTGTTATTTAGCGATATCATCACTTAATCCATTTTTCATCCATAACATGGCTAGAGAGTGACATTTAATGCACCTCCCTGTTGAATAAAAATCATAGAACGCATTAAAAGTGTCTGTTGGTTTCTGGTGGTTTTCAGTAGTGGCTAATGGTATTCTGTGTTTTCCTGATGGGTTAATATCACAGTGTGAAGGATTCCGATCGTTTAATCAGGTGTTCTGGGACTGATTCCACATATGTTTGATTATTTCCTAATGGTCTCTAACGGCAACCATCAAGCCAATTCCCGTTAGGAAGCCAAACCGTCAGGTTTTATTCCTAACAGCCCTGCAAACACAATTACACTTTGACAACCTACTGTTTCAATGCCCACAGCGTCGTCTGCTTGGTGCTCTTTACATTGTCATAACATTGTAATGTAATTTTTCAGAAAGGTATGAACGTTGTCTGACAACTTTCTAGGAGGTTGTGACGACGTTGATGAGACGGCAAAAGTAATCAGTACTATGGTGACTGTACGTTGTCATTAGCTCCTAGAATCCTTAATAAGTTTTAATCAATATTACAGTTTTTGATGACCGGTTCTAATTGTCAGCATGGCTTTCATGAGTTTCAGCAGCAGCCTGTTTGTCTTTTCTGTGAATAAACCCGACATTCATGTCTTATTGCTGTGGTAGGCTTTATTTTGAAAGTTTCCATATTTAATTACCTTATTATCAGTATGGCAACGTCATTATATATTCAGTGTAACTCCTGCTGCCCAGCAGTACGCGTTTCGCTGTTTTTACTCATAAAACTCACAAAAACACTGTTGTGGCGGAGCGGCACTGACGTCATTAATAGGCTGCTGGTGCATGTCAGACTGAGAGTGCATGTCTGTTCATATACCTCAGTTATGAAATTTATGCACTGCTGCTCCATAAACCTGCTTTGCATGTATTAATCCCTTCTGCTTTTTTCATGTGGACTATGCACATCTACCTCATCGCCTTCAACCATGACACCTCTGAGATGCTATTCCTTGATCACACTGTGCATTTGCTAACCTGTTGAGCTTCTCTCATGCAGACTATGCTCGGCTGACCCATCCATCTCATGATGCTGCACCATTTGCTGTTCGTTTTCTAAACCTAACTTCATTTACTCCTTTACCAGGGTTATCTCAGTACTGTTACAAGATGCCTTCTCTGTGCTGTTCATGTCATATATTTCTCGTTTTGTATACTATAATTGGTCTTTTTCAGATTCTCCTCCAGAATGCTCTCTTCTCTAACAACTCAACAGTGATACAGATGTGATGCTGTACCTCAGTTACATTGTACGGTTACTTATCCTAATTGAATTTACTCCAGCTACTTCTTTTCTAGTGTCTCATTAATGGTGCTGAGGAATGTCTCATCTTGCCGCTTAGAGAAAGTACCAAGCAATCATGTATACCAGCTTTACTCCATGTTTCACTAATGCTATTTTTTTACTCCAGTTTCTTCCATTCTAAGGTGTCTGTGATGCTCCTGCATGCCATCTCATCTCACTCATACCACTCATCAGCTGTAACACTGCAGCTTCACTGTGCTCTGAGTCTGCTAATGCTAATCTCATTTCCTCCAGCTCTTTCCTTAACACTGTTGCACTGAAGTTCTTTCTTCTTGCTTTTTCTGTGTCACTGTTGCTCTTCCACAGCTCCATTTCACTCAGTGTCACGTCAATATTACAGATCCATTGTTTACATTCCCTTTTTTGGGACCAGCATCTACAGTAGCAAGCTCTTTCACTGCTGTCTGTTTACTGCTCTTGGGCTGCTGAGCCATTGGCTTTAGACCTCGATTCTGTAAAGCTACCATGCAACATTTTGTAAAAGTGCATTCAGTGTCCACCCTGTGCCATCTTTGTGTTTCCAATCTTGCAACCCTTGCCTTGTAACTTGTAGCAACCTCCTCTTCAGCTGGGTCAAGGATCATGGAAAGCTCATTATTAAATTTATTGTGGTGTGGCAGGGGTTATTTGGAGTAAAACAGAAGTGATCTAGTGTTATCAGCATTCTTTTCCTGTTTTCTGTTCTGTGATCTCTCCTTATTTTACAGTATATTGAATGCAGGCTTTGAACTAGCAAAATGTGTTTATTGGTAATTGTTTTGTCTATTTCAGATGACAAAAAATGAAATGGAAGCAGGAAGTAATCGTCTGGAGTCAGATGGTGCCTCTGCAGGCACAGCATCACAGCATGAGTCTACTTTCTGTAACGAGGTATGAAACTGCTTATTTTCTTATATTTTTACATGGTAAACGTCAGGTCCCCACAATGTACACTGTAATCTCATCTACCTTTGTTGGCAAAAGATTTTCAATTGACTAGTGGTGCCCTTCTCCCACTGAGTCCCCACACTGTCTTTAAAAGTGAAGGTTTTACACAAAGTCCTCACAAGGCATCTACTTTAAAATATTATCATTTTAATCTAGAAATATTTTTTGGTTGGTGTGTTTAGCCTAAAAATACTTTCTACAACTTGACAGCGTTCAGCTTAGTTGTAGTATGTCAGCATTGCTTTTACTTTTGGGCTTATTGGTAATTGTTTTGTCTATTTCAGATGACAAAAAATGGAACGGAAGCAGCCAGTAATCGTCTGGAGTCAGATGGTACCTCTGGAGACGATCACCATCACACCCAGCATTCACAGCATGAGTCTACTTTCTGTAACGAGGTATGAAACTGCTAATTTTCTTATATTTTTTGTATGGTAAACGTCAAGTCCCCACAATGTACACTGTAATCTACCACGGTTGGCAAAAGATTTTCAATTGACTAGTGGTGCCCTTCCCCCACTGAGTCCCCACATTGTCTTTAAAAGTGAAGGTTTTACACAAAGTCCTCACAAGGCATCTACTTTAAAATATTATCATTTTAATCTAGAAATATTTTTTGGTTGGTGTGTTTAGCCTAAAAATACTTTCTACAACTTGACAGCGTTCAGCTTAGTTGTAGTATGTCAACATTGCTTTTACTTTTGGGCTTATTGGTAATTGTTTTGTCTATTTCAGATGACAAAAAATGGAACGGAAGCAGCCAGTAATCGTCTGGAGTCAGATGGTACCTCTGGAGACGATCACCATCACACCCAGCATTCACAGCATGAGTCTACTTTCTGTAACGAGGTATGAAACTGCTAATTTTCTTATATTTTTTGTATGGTAAACGTCAAGTCCCCACAATGTACACTGTAATCTACCACGGTTGGCAAAAGATTTTCAATTGACTAGTGGTGCCCTTCCCCCACTGAGTCCCCACACTGTCTTTAAAAGTGAAGGTTTTACACAAAGTCCTCACAAGGCATCTACTTTAAAATATTATCATTTTAATCTAGAAATATTTTTTGGTTGGTGTGTTTAGCCTAAAAATACTTTCTACAACTTGACAGCGTTCAGCTTAGTTGTAGTATGTCAACATTGCTTTTACTTTTGGGCTTATTGGTAATGTTTTGTCTATTTCAGATGACAAAAAATGGAACGGAAGCAGCCAGTAATCGTCTGGAGTCAGATGGTACCTCTGGAGACGATCACCATCACACCCAGCATTCACAGCATGAGTCTACTTTCTGTAACGAGGTATGAAACTGCTAATTTTCTTATATTTTTTGCATGGTAAAGGTTAAGTCCCCACAATGTACACTGTAATTTACTAGGTTTGGCAAAAGATTAGAAAGCACTCACTCCTGCAGTCTCAGTGGATTTAAATAATTTTTCTCACCGATCTATATAAAAATGAACACAAATTAAAATTATAAATCTCCTGTGTACCTTGCATTGAAGCCATTTGGTAGAGCCACCTTAACAATTTCAGTTTTCAGTTTTCATAGATCTGTATAATCACCCTAAAGTAGAGGTCACTAATAGGTGGACTGCGGTCCGAGTCCAGACCCAGACGTTGTTCCATACTGACTGGACCCATAACTGATAAATTCTGGATAATTATTTAATTTTATTGGGTTGGTCCTATTTTAATCGGCGTATCATTTCTAGTCATTATGGTACCGTTTTAGCGGCCCAGAAAACTCACAGACCAATCACAGGCGTTGTAAATATCACACGTGATGCTACTCAGCCAATCAGATCTGTGCATTACAATGAGCACAGAGACTCGAGGGAGTGAAGCCACACAGGGGAGGGACAAGGCAAGACAAAGCAGTTGGAGAAGAAAGTGAGTCAGAGGGAAGTTACTTCACATGGCGTGATCTAAAAAGAGAAAACTGACAATAAAATGTTGAAATATTACTGAATTGTACTTTACTTGATTTGACATTCAGTTGTAGACTACATAAGATGTTGATATACCTACTAGGCTACTTCAGTGAACAGTACATGGCACTGAATCATAATGGAAGTTGGACATTATGATGTTCTGGACCTTTGCTTGATTTTCGTTAACTGGACCTTATTGAATTTTAATTAAATACCCCTGCTCTAAAGGTCAAATTTGGCCTTTGGCCAACTAGCTGAAATGATGCAAGATGTTGTATTTGTTCAGTGTCTGTCCCTTAGCCTGTACTTTTCAATAACTGTGTTAAGGTGTTGTTTGGGGTGGGTTTTTTGTGTTCATAGTGTAGTTTTTGCCAGGAAATGTACTCATTAGTAGTTGTTTTATATAGAGGCACAGTTATGCTGTAATCACTTTGAAACACATTTAAAACACATTGACCACATTTTAAAAATATGGTAACTTTCAAAATCAGGATGAAAAATCAGTAAATGTTTTCCTGTTTAATAGATATAAGGAAAAAGAGACTGCTTGGTGTAAGATCCTTAGCACATATTAGCCCCCTATATTATTGTTAAGTGCTGTCAAATTGTTTCCAACCCCTGGAGACCATATGGATGGTGTTTCTCCAGAATATCCTGGTCTTCTGTTCGGGTGTTCAGGCTTTATAATGGCCTCGTTCATTGTTCCTTGGATTGTATCTTCTTGCTTGGGCTCCACTTCCCAACTCTTCCAAGCATCATTGTCTTTTCCAGTGGTTCTTCTCAGAATATTCCCAAATCCCAAAGAGAGTGTCAGTTTATTATCTGGACTTTGAAAGTTGAGGCTTGATTTGGTCAAGGGCCCATTGTTTTGTTTCCTTTGGCATCCAACGTTCCCTCAAAAGACTTTGCCAGCAGTTCAAATGCATCAGTATTTCCCACCTTTTTTACTGACCAGCTTTCATATTCATAAAGAGCCACAGAGATGACCAGTCTGGACAGGTGTGATCTTTATGTGGAGAGACAGATTTTTGCATTTGAACATCTTTTCCAGTTTGACTGCTGGATCCTTTGTTGTTAATCAGTTAAAGTTGGCAAAAGCTGTCCATCTCTTTGACATCTTCTCCATCAGTGATACAGTTAGTGCTCTTTCTTATTGTCCTAACCTTGGTCTTAAGTTCCATCTTTTCACTCTGTTCTTTAACCTTTCTTATAAGGGCCTTTAGGTCTTCCTGATTTTCTGCTGTGAATGTCGTGTCATCCGCATATTGAAGGTTATTGATATCTTCCACCAGTTTTGAATCCTCAATCATTTTCCTCTAGTCCTGCGTCTCTCATTATATGTTCAGCATACAGGTTGAACAGGTATGATGACACAATGTAGCTTTGTCTAACTTGCTTGCCGTGGAACCATAATCTAGCATACATCAGGTAAGATGTTGTTGATTGATCTTTATTTCATAGTTTATTTTATATTTGGTATTCCAGTCACCAGCAGGATAACTTATTTGCAGGTCCTGTCAATTTCAGCCTGAGCTTCAACATAAAACTTTTTCATTTCTTCTTCATTAGCATCTGTTGTTGGGGAGTAAACCTGGATGAATGGAATGTTGAATGGTTATGCATGAAATTGGATTGACATCAGTCAGTCATTCACAGAATTGCATCCAATAATGGTCTTGTTGACATCCTTGTTGACAATAAAAGCCACTCCATTTCTTCTTTGTTGTTCATTACCTGACTAGTAGACTGTGTTTCTTTTCCAGCTTGCCATGATTCCTGCTTCAGACATTCCAAGTTTCACTTGTAGCTTTGAATTCTCTTTTCTTGCTCATCAGCTAAAGCAAAAATCTTTGACCTAGCTGTGTCATGCAAGCAAGGTGTACTCAGAGGAATCCTCAGCTCTTCCCCAATAATAAGTTGAGTGCAAGATAATACCAAACATTTTGTTGTTCCTATCCATGTGATTTTCTTGGTAGAGTACAGAAGTGGTTTACCATTGGCTTCTTCTGCACAGTTGAACTGATGTCAATGCCATTGTCACCTGTGTGATAATCCACCTTCAACATTGTCCTATATCCCTGCTGCCCAGTATAGGTGGTAGTTTGCAACCATCTAGCAGCACCTTAAGAACCACATAGCAAGACCACATCAATGACATAGCAACACTCTAGCATTCACTTAGGACTTATCTCAGCAATCACTCTGCATTTTCATCAGGAAATGCATTTATATAGTATTATTTTTATTATTATTATTATTATTATTTTGGCATGTCCTTAGCTATTTAAAGTATTTTCAAAAAGAGTGTGTTTCGTTTGGGTTTATGTAGATCCTGGAGCAGAACCGGACTTAGAACCGTCTACACAGCAAGCCCAGGAGACCTTGGCTGAACCACATCAGTTCCCAAAGGTATTGTCTGATAAATAAACATGATGGCAAGCTTTTATGACATTGAAAGACATTGTATGTTTTGACTAATAATGTTCTGCATTTATTCAGGTGTAAAGATGGTTGAGAGAAAGAAGTGGGAGACCGGTGAAGTGAAAGCAGTTGAAAAACATCTGAACAGGTTCATTAAAACTTGCACAGTGCCAGGAAAAAAAAGAAAGTGAGGCTTGTATAAAAGCTGATCCTGTTGCACTGAAAGACCGAGATGTTCTTTGTAAAGAACAGAATCACTGCACTTAAAAGGAAAATGTAAACCAGAACAAATGTCGTTTGCACAGTCTTTGTTTTTTTATGTTCATTGATAGTTCCAACAGAAAAAAAGGGTTTTATTTCATTGTATATTTTATTTGATGTCAATCTTTGAAAAAAATGGTTCTTCAAGGGTTCTTTAGTAAAAACACAAAGAGCCATCTGCATGCTTAAATGTTTCGTCACATGGTGAAATGGTTTTTCAGTTTGGAGAATGTGTTGTTTATGGTTCTATTAATGAACCATTTTAAAATGGTTCTGTATAGCACCAAATAGAGTTCTGCTACAAGCTTGACATCAACACACTTGTAGAACCCTTTTTGTACTATACAGAACCATTTTTAAGTTCTTTTATAGAACCACATGCAACACAGTCTGAATAACCATTTACCATGAATCATAGTTCTATATAGAACCACTGTCTTTACCAAAGTTCTCTTGACAAAACATCTTTTTGAGCATTTTTTTAAATACTTATTATTTTTTTACTGGCAGCTTAAGTATTTAGTATTGCTTATGATTGCTTTAGATTTAAAAAGCAGTCATTAATTATCTGTGCAGAAATACTGTATCACAAACGGCAAAAAACTGGTTTAAAAAGAAACAATTAAAAGACCTGTTATTCATATGTCTACATCAGTTGTCTTTTGTTACAAATATACCTTATAGGTGCATTTCAGCTGTTCATAACATTTTGTCCCCAGATTGTTCACAAGTACCTACATTGTACAAAATACCAGAAAGTTGTGTGTGTGTATCTGCTGGTCCCCACATGCTTTGAATACCGGAAATTGTCCCCAGAATGTAGGAAAATGTCACATTGTTTTATTAACGTATTTTCGTTATTTTGAAGTGACAGCCGTCTTTAAAACGCCAGTTGAAACATGAATCTGTCTTTTATTTGCTCCTAAAGCCTTTAGAAATGCGAGTCCCCACATTGTAGCATTGGGCTGGTAGTCCCCGAAATGCGCTTAGACAAGTATGTGTGTGTGTGTGTGTGTGTGGGTGCGCGTGTGTGTGTGTGTGCGTGTGTGTGTGTGTGTGCGTGTGTGTGTGCGTGTGTGTGTGCGTGTGTGTGTGTATGAGTGAGTGATGGTAGGAATGCATGTTTTATTTTTTATATTTGATTGTATTTTATTTTATATTTATATTTTATTTTATTCATTGCATGTAAATGTCTGTCTGATACTGTGCACTGTGAGCTCCTGTAACCAAAACCAAATTCCTTGTATGTGTAAGCATACCTGGCCAATAAAGCTTGATTCTGATTCTGATTCTGATTAATCACGGTACAGATTCCTGGACCTGAACCTGAAAATCTCAGCCAAACCAATATTGTCTTGCCATGATCTTCGAGTCCTCAGATGGCGCTTCATTTAAATCAGACACGATTCTATAGTGGAAATCACTGCATGGGCTCAGGAGCACTTCTGAAAAAACATTGTCTGTTGCTCAGAAGGGATAACTCAATCTTAAGGCATACATCCATACTTTTAATATCAGTCAGTTTGAATAAATTAGACATTAATACATGCTATGTTTAAGTTTGTGTGCTATTGTGCAGTTCAAATGTCACTACTTTGGCTATGCCAAGGCCTTCAAAAGGGTTTAAAAAGGAGTTTGATGTTTCAGAATTGTGCATCAAAAATGCAGTCACTGAAATTAAACTATGCTGACTAACTAGATGATTAACCAATGTGTGGAATGTCATGATCCCGCACAAGAAGCAAAATAATCAAATGGGGGTTTAGATTTTTAAACATTTTGATAACACACAGACACACACACACCTCTCTCCTCTACAGGTGTATTTACCAATGTCAGACTCTACAACACTGAATGAATATTGTGTTTTCCAATCAGAGGAATAAACTGGATGGTTACTGTCACCATCTTTATACCAGCTGTAGCTCCACTCAGTGTCTGTGTGTCCTTGTATGTCACATCTGAGAGTTACTTTCTCCCCAGTAAACATCTGTCCTGTAGGTATCGGGATCAGTGAAGCTTTTGGTCTCTCTGTATAATTACATCACATTGATATTACTGTAAAACAGCCAAACACACACCGCTCTGAGAATTGCTCAATTGCTTAATGCTCAATTTTAGCTATGTTAATTAGAAAGTTATATTATATTGTATGGTGGATGAAATGTGCCAGAATAATAAATAAGCCAATAAATAACCAAAATGAAAATAAATATATGAGCAGCAGCAACATAATAAGCAACCAAATAAATAAATAAAATTAGACATAACTGTAATGATTTTTTTTATATTGTTGTGCATTTATTTAATTCTATATTTTTTATTTAAATCTGTATTTAGATTTATTTATATTTGGATAGATTGATTTACTTCCCAAATCTTTTTTTTTTTTCTATGTACTTTTCTGATACCTCTTTACTTTATTCCTTTTTTCATTTATTCATTCTTTTGGAACACATCAGAAGGATTATAGGATTATATTTCAAAGTTTATTTCACAATAGTAAAAATAAAAAAAACACAAGGCCAGAAATCATCACTGTGAGAGTACCTATCACTGTGAGAGTCACTTCATCACTTCATTGAGAGGCTCTTTGGTCATGATTCCCAAAACCAAAACATTTGTATTTTAAACTCTGCTGCACTTTAATGTCTCTTATGATGTAAGATTTTTCATCAGAGGAGTGAAGTTTGGTGTCACCACTGTACCAGTAGTGTTTCCAGTCATTTACTCTCTGTCCTGCAATGGAACATGTGAGTGTGACGGTCTCTCCACTGAATATTTTTGCCCATTTAGGCTGCACAGTCAGAACTGGTTTAAACCACACTGTAAAAATCAAACAGCAAACACATCTATCACCACACAGAATTCAATTTCTGTATGACATTCTATTTTTCACAATTAGCTCTCACACAAAGCAGATAAGCACACATAATATAAATTTTTCACTATTTATAAATCACCTTGAGCATGCCCAGCTTGGACAAGTGAAATAAAAACTAAAAACAGGAGGAGAAACAGAAACATGATGTTAACACTGAAATCATTTCTTTCTCGTTACATTTTTTCACTTCATGAAACTCCTTTTTTAAAGCAATTCTAGCCAAACAGCTAAAGCATTTTCGACCTCTTGGCAGATGTGTTCTGGTGCACCAGGCCAAGAGTTTTACAGCATGTAGCAGGATAAAGCCACTTATAAATATATACATAAATAGCTAAGTTTTTCTCAGGTTAGGGTTTTCCCAAACTTTGGGTGTGTCGCATCTGACCGGACCTTGATGGGCAAGGCAAGCTACCAGCTGGCTCATGTTGGCCTCTGGTGACCTATCGTTGCCAATATAACTTTCAAAATGAATCAACCAAATTAAAACAGACGCAGCTAGGGTGGTCTATTCAATGTGCAAATGCAGTGAGCCGAACAGTTTGCAACACTTCTTCAAGATTATTGAGTGAGTGAAAACAAAACGAACTGAACAAAGACACGACGAACTGAGACATGAAACAAAATAAAACTAAAATCTGCAGATTTACAATGTATTTTTATTTACAATGCATTTTGGGAGAGGGCTTCTTGTTTCTTCAGCATTATATGGTCATTCTCTGTCTCCCCTTCACACCGAGTGGCTGACTGTCTCCCAGTTATAAGACCGGAACTCTGATGGATGGAGCTAAGGCGGGAGCATTCTAATGAATTTCTAATGAATATGCAATTTCTTTGTCTGCTGAGCTTCTCACGTTTCATCGCAAATTAACTTCACAGAGATTCTGTGCGTTGTTGCCACTTAAGTCAAAGAACGTTATATGCATGCAATTTCACACAAATATACATTATTACAGTTCCAATAGTAACTATCACAAGAAAGTACTGAGTTTACAGATAATTAGGTCTAAAAGTATTCTAATTTCACACTACGGTTACATAAAGCTACTTGGAAGAAACATGATTACTAGGGAAAGGAAATGAGATTGAAATAAATACTGAGCACATTATCTAGGTATTATGAATGTCTCTGTAGATTTGATAATAGAAGCTTTTATGCTTGGCATATATATATATATATATATATATATATATATATATATATATATATATATATAGTCATACAAATTACAAACATTCAAACATTTTTTGCACAGTTTATTTACACAGACTTTTGGAAATTCCTCTCCCTCTTTCATGCACACATCTCATTTTCCTACAGAGAGAAAGACATCTGGTCTTAAAACAGATAAGAAAGGCCAAGATGGCACCACCAATCACCCTGAGTTTAGATGCTGAATCAATGACTGTCCTTTTAATCAAACTGTGAAAAATACTTTCATAGTTTATTATGAAATACTTTAATTTCATAGTTATTTCATAATTCTTGAATTGTAACCCAATTTCATTAGTCAAGATTATTATAATTAATAATATATGGTAGAAATACCATAAGGTTAGTGAAATCCATAGGTTCCATTGAATAATATATCAACCTCATATCTTTTCTTTTGTGTCTGCATGTTTTTCATTAGAAGTAGAACTGTGTTAGTACTTCTAACTTGTGTGACCCTATATACTTCAGTCACAATAGAGCATCCACCATCATATCTACAGAGATTTTGGTGATAACTGTATAATGTATTCAGCATTTATTTTACCCTTACTTATCCTGTAACTTTTAATTTGAACATATTTTTAGAAGTGTTGGTGTTCAGCTCATCCCACAGATGGGTTTTCTATGGGTTTAGGTCAGGGGACTGGGGTTGCCGTGGCAATATCTTAATGCTGTGGTCAGTGAGCCATTCATATGTTGATTTTAAGGTGTGCTTTGGATCATTGTCCTGCTGG